CCACATCAATAAGAAAATAAAGACACGTGAATAGAAGAGACTGGATTTGTTTTCTTGAACAAACAGGGAGCTGGAAGGGGTAAACACACCACTGTTGTCAGGAGGTAAAAGGCTTTTCTAAAGAGTGGGGATTTGCTTCTCTCTGTGACTACCAGAGGAAGGATAAGGAGCTTAGTTTACAGCATCAACAATTCAGCCGGGAATTGGGGGAACTCTGAGTGACAGCAATGAAACACCAGAAGCAAGGAAGTCACGGAGCATCCTTCAGCAGAGGCTTTGATGGGCGGCTTAAATGAGCAGCTCTGAGAAATCACCTGGGTGCTGGCTCTGAGCGCATGTTCCTGCGGCCATGCCATGCCGCGGTCTGACAGCGAGCACGTTCCCTGCCACGAGCGCGCCATTACTGACTGTGGCTGCGGAAGCTGCTTGGCACACGTGGTATCCCATGGAAGTTGTGGTATGGGATTAGGTAGGATGAATGCTCTAGATACATCTTGAAAACCAGAAAAGTTAATTTACTAAGCAGCTTTCTAGCTCTGCAATAATTTCCCCAGGAATGAGTTAAAGCTACAACACAGGAGAGATCCTGTGTTAGGAGCAGCAGAGAAATAAGGATAGATGTTTGATGCTACAGGGTTTAGGGAAAAAAAATCTGAGAAAGTCTCTCCAGCCAGCGTGGTGAAGAAGTCAGGGTTAAAAATATGAATGCTAGAGTCTTTCTGCAGAAGGTGGCCGGAGAGAACCCCGGAACAACTCAGGGAATGGTGAGGGCAGCAGCCTGGCGTGACCTTTGCTCATAGCTCCGGCACATCCTTATGCACGGCCAAGGGCAGGGCCGCGGGTGCAGCCTCAAAATCAGCTTAAGCCAGTCCAAACTCCCGCTGTTAGGGAAGGACGGTCCGTTCCTCAGCTGCTCCTACCCACCAGCTCCCATCTGTTGGCACAAGCAGTCGCAAGGCAGCGCAGCCCACAGCAATAAAAGCAATTCCTTCTTGGAGTGACAAGAAGCACAGCTGGATGACGGCTGCAGCAACACGGGGACAGCAGCGTGAACGGAGGCTGGAGGGCCCTCTTGCACAGCAAACACACGCCCTCCTGAACTTACATTGGTGGAGTTCCAGCAGCAGAGCTCTCGGGTAACTTTCTCACCAAGAAAGGTCTGCGCAGGCCCTGACTTCGCTAAATCAAGAGCTTGGGGGCAGCCGCCCCAGACCCCACACCGCAGAGAAGCACCAATTCTGTTTGTGCTTGAAGGACAGGCTTAGCACCCACAGCCAGCACCACGTACAGGGGCCAGAGCCACCTGCACCCCCAGCGCGTCAGAGGTGCTGTCACTGTGGATGGACAGCTGGACACTTACAGAAACTATCATGGGGGTGGCAGGTCTCGGTGTTAACGCTCGTCCAGATGCAATGAAGTTCAAGGCTACACCTCTCACGATTGTGTCCCACGCAGCCGGAGGTGGGATAGCTCCTGCCCTCAGAGGCGGGGCTGGACGGCTGCTGCAGGCTGCACGAAG